TAATCAATGAAGAAGTAGGAGGGAGTGAAGTATTATTCCTGGTAATTCACTATAGTCTCCATTCCTCTGTGTAGCTTCAAAGTGATTTCTATAATGTGTATAATGAGTTATGAATGTTTTGTTTTGTTTAAAAATATGTTTTATCTGTGCTTTGATGTAATTTTAAAAAGTTTAAAATGAATTCTTGAATCATTAGTATCATCTATTAGTATCACTATCATCATCAGTAATATTTCATGAGTAATAGTTGGTTGTCAATTGTTATTTGACATTAGTAAAGAGAAACAAATATTAAAGTCTTGATAAGAGTGATAAAACATGTTCAAGAGGCTATTGTGCACAGATATGAATGCATATAAATGCCTTGAGATTTTGGCTTGGGCATTGGTATGCCTTGGGCACAAAAAAGTTTTAAAACCACTCGTGTAGTGACATCAGTCCCACACATTAATCTTGTTGCATAGAACTGGGTTATGTTTGCTCCTGTTACAAATTGCTCACATGGATATACATGGATATTTTCTTAAGACTGTATAGACAGTCTTGCCAGTTTCACCTCTACTGCTGTACAACAAGTCCCCTCCTTTTTTTTCTTTGCGGGATTTTGTGTCATTATGAAGTGTAGGTGAAAACCCCTTCCAGCACAACCGATTTCAAATGGTGCTAGAAAAGTCCAATCCACTCTGAACACCAAAGGAAATCAGTGATGCTGTGAGGTAGTAGTGTTCACAGCAGCCCACGAGTGTGAGGCGCTTCTGTTTGCGACTGAGGTTGGAGGCCACAGTAGTGATGGTTTGCACAACTTGATATAAATATTTTTTCCTGGCCATTGTGATGCTAGCACGCCACAGATCATTTAGCTTGAAAAATACATATTGTAGCTATCTGACAGATTATTGACTGCTCTCTCTTTTACTCAGATATCTACATGAACCATCCCAACAGCCAAAAGTACAACTGCACCACCTGCTGAGCGGTCATTTGGTCAATTTTCAAGCAGGACAAACACAGAAGTTGGTGTGAAACTTTGACAAATTTCCCTTTCATTATCCACGGTCTGTTTCTGAATAGAACATGCAGCTGTTTTATCTCATTAGAATACTTGACCCATTCAGTTCTCAAATGGTGTTTTCCATACTGAAACCACCGAACAAGGAAGGGGCACAGCCCCTCTTTTATCTATTTCATTCAGGGTTGCCATTGACATGTGCTTCACACTTCGAGACAACATTCCTTCTGTCCACTTGTTGACCTGCAAATGTAATGCGCACATGTGCTTTTCCATCCTGCCTTCTCCCCGTCTCAGGCCCCTCCTCTAGAGTTTAATTATTTGGGGATTGCTACAAGGTCATGTGAACAATGAGAGACACAACACCATAAGGAAGACTAATGATGCCATGCAGTGTCATAGCTAGTTATCTGCGGGCCACTGCAGCTCCAAGCACATCAGCATGGCAGCTATATAGAGACATGGACATGCCAAATGACAGAATTTAAAAAGCACATTTAAAAGAGACAAAGACATAGACTGAGACACATAAATGAGTAATTTTCAAATGTGAAAGTGTACTTAAATAAAAATATAGGTAGGAATATTTCTTTATCTATATTATCCCTATTCCCACACCCAGATTTTAGCTCTGTTTCTGTTACCTCTGCTGAAACCAAGTCCTCAAGCTGCTTTCATGCTGCTGCGTGGCCACCGCCTTGACAAATGCCTACCTGCAAGAGTGTTGCCCAGAGATCACATGAGTGGCAACTGCTTCATACGTCTACCCACCCTACATGTTTGAAACCACTTCACCCCTGCTGCCATCCCCTCACTGAAGTGACAGGAGGTGGTGAGTTACCGCGTGGCTGTGTGAAAGCACTTTGAGAACTGTCCACATCAAGAATGACAACTGTAACTATAAAATCATATGGTTTTAAAAATCGCTAAAAAACCGGAGTCCACACCACAACATTAACGACGACAGTGACGAACAACATTGGTGGGATCACTTTCAGAGCTATTTGATGAATGATAGAAACACTGACAGCCAGTCATGATTCTTTAGAAATTGCAGGAACTAAGCTGCTGACACAGCTGGAGTGTGCAGTGCTTGCCTTACAGACCGTTTTTCATCAGTGTGGATGATCACGTTGTTATCACGGGTGTGATAGTGGCTTTGTGAGGATGAACAGCAGTGCCTTGAACAAAATTCTATCAGCTTTTTCTAACATGCTCAGTGACAACCAAGAAAAATGGCAGGGGGTTAATATAGTGCATTACATGTGAAATAGGAGATGATTTCCATTTTTGACTGCTATATAGGGTATGCAAAAGACACCACTGTATGAAGAAATCATCCCAGTCACTCCTCGATGAGTAGCAACATTTTATCATACACTTTACTCTCCTCATGAGGGTGGTTATATTGTTCACATTCAGTGTTATTATAATTAGACCGCGAAACAATGGGCAATTTGAATAATTTATATAAATATAAATATGAATGAATAACACAAAATAAACAAAAATCATGCCGGTCTTCCACATGGAAAATGTTTTTCCTCTCCTCCCTGCTGGGACAAATTCTCATCTCTTCAAAGGGGCCCTCCCTACACTCCACTCAGGATTCATAAAAAATAATAAATAATTGAGTTCCACTCAGTCTAGACATGTCCAGCATAAGCACAATATCTACACCCAGCTGAATGACTTGAAATGAAAAGAAACAGGCCTAAAGATTTACCATCTCTGCTGTTAATCAAGTCCTAAATTTTGGTGTTCAGTTGTGAAGATGACCTTGTTGAACAAATATCATAAAGTTTCTTCACAAAGCTTATTTTCTCTAGTAATCTAAAATACAATGGAAAAATCCCTTATGCTTTTTGATGAGGACACCAGAGCAATACCTTCTGGTTGGCCAAAAAAACAAAAACAAAAACAAAAAACCATCATCACTGCAACACTCTATTACTTTGCATTGCATCTGGGATGTCTTGATTGATTATTTATGTTCATCATAACATGCAGTTATGCTCGGTTATGTTCATCTTTGGTGCCATTAACTCTCTTTTGTGCTCAACAGGGTTACATTTGCCAAGTCATATGGATTTGTGTGTTTCCTTTTACAAACATTGGTAATTTAACAATCAGAGCCATATACTTTGGCATCCTCTTACTATGGAATATTGGGCAATGTTTTTATGTTAAAGGGACAGTTCACTCCAAAATAAAAAATACAGATTTTCCCTCTGACCTGTAGTACTATTTGTCAGTCTAGATTGTTTTGGTGAGTTGCCAAGTGTTGGAGATATTGGCTGTAGAGATGTCTGTCCTCTCTCCAATATAATAGACCTAGATGGCACTCAGCTTGTGGTGCTCAAAAAGCCAAAAATACATTTGAAAAACTCAACAGCAATGTCTCTTTCCAGAAATCACAACATGGTTACTGAAGATGATCCACAGATCTTGTTGAGAGCAGTTTCATATAGGAATTATTTTATTTCTATTAAACTACAGCCACCAACTTTAACCACACAGAATAAAGCATGCATCTACTGCTAGTTCACCTAGCATGACTGAGCTAACTAACATTACAGCTCAGCTTAGGAGGACACCATTTTGTTTAAATCTTGTCATGAGCACAAACCTCTGGTCCATGAGTAGTTGCATGCTTTGTTCTGAGCACTGATACGGCCTTTAGCAGGTTAATTTGATTATTGATAAAAGGAAGCTAATTTGCTAATAAACCCTATGTAAAACTGCATTATGAAACTCCAGTATGTGCCTCGAATGCAATCACTGGTTCTGAAAAACCTTATAATTTCTCCTGTTGTACTATGCATCATCGAACAAAGAGAATTTTTGTTTATTCATGTATGTTGACCTTATCTGTTTATGTGTTTTTCTCATATGGGTTGGCATTATTATTCAACAGTGTGGCACCTTTTACTGACTGGTAAGTAAAATCTTCTTCATTGCACAGTGGAGAGAATTAGAAGAGTCTTTGAGAGGTCAAACAACAAAACAGGCTTATACATGTGATTCAAAAGTAAATTTCAATGCAGAAGTCTCACATGTAAAAACAATGTACAACTGGGTCCATCCAGGGCTATATAGGCATAATTGTCACATTCTGCTTGATTACAAATGGCTGTAGCAGGATGCCAAATGTCCAACTCTGACACACCACTAAATACATTTCTTCTTTTTGGGTTCCTGTCAGTTTCAATTCTCATCTTGTTTTGCCCTTAAAATAATATTTAAAGATAACGGTCCTTCGTTTGATTTTGTAACCAAGCAACATGGATCCAGTGGAATAACTTTTGGTTTATTTGGCCCCGGCAACAAACTTTTAATAAAGGTCAGTGCTTAACATGAAAAAACACACACGTCAGCATGATTATTTTATAGATAGCATGGACTTACCATGTGCAGCAAGCTGGAGTGAATGAAGGCAGTGAACATTCATTTCCGGGCTTGATCGTGCCATGTCTTTAGGTCTTATCAACTAAATGAAATGCTCACCTAAGTCAAGGTAAGGGACACAGAGGAAGAGAGAGTGAAACAAAGGATCTGGAATGAACTGAGTTTGATAAAGGAAAATAATGATAATGTAACTATGGTACAGACAGACAGACAAATGAGGAGACAGACAGAGTGCAGAGGTTTCAGTCAGCAAAGCGATCCATGTGGTCCTGGGCCATGTGGCAGTGATGCTGTGTCTGGTAGTCTGAGATACAGTGTAGGGCGCTGCCTCCTGTACCCCCTTCCTCTTCTCTGAAGCCCATCCCAACCCCTCCCTTATACCCCCCGATGCTCTAAAATCCCTGGCCCCTCCTCTCCCTACATTTCGCCCCAAACACTGTCCTCTTTCTGCACCAATACTATGCATGCATGTACTGTGCACTCCCCTTTTGTGACCTTAATTGCATTACAATAACATTTGTTCTGGGACCACAAAGTCCCTAGATACAGGATAAGAAATGGTAAAGACGAGGCATTACATCATTTAGGTTTTTATTTGATTCAAAATCAGTGCAACTTTCAGCGATATGAACACAAATGAAGTCAGACTCTTTCATTTCACCTTTTACATGCTTTATAAAAACAAACTAAAAGGTACCCCAGTGATGTAGGATTGTACTTCCATAGTTGTTGTACTAGCGAGAGACAGAAAAAGGAAGAGTCAAAATCAAAACAGAAGAGGTTGGGATATCCTTATTTTTATTCCCTAAGTTGGGACAGGCTACAAAATAAAGAATCTTGCATTTCCCATTATGCAACTCAATAGCGTATTAGATGGGTACATGGGTGTAGATATATGCAGATGAGCATGTATGTACATGTGTGTGTATATATATATATATATGTATGTACATATGGGTGTGTGGGTAGGAGTATGTATGTGCATATGTACATAGGGGTACCTATGTACCAGGGCATCGTTATTACAGCCTAAAGTAGCAGCCATTGGTCAGTCTCATATCTGGGAATTAACCACGTCGTTAATGGCATCCAATTCTCACTGACACGTGGATGTTTAAGTAGTTCTCCATTCGTCACGTCCCACTGAGTGCCTCCTCTGTAAGACCTATCGTGGTATGAAGGGGTTTTACATGACAAGGAGCAGGCCATTATTAATGTTACCTTATTGATCTCCACATTTTTATATCAACCAGACTAACGTAAAATTCACATCAGTAATTGCTGTAAAAATGGTCCGTTTATTTCTTTCGATTTAGTATTGCATTCCTATAATATTGTTTCTCAAAATGGACAGTTTAAAAAAAGGATACATGACATAATGATTAATGCACCTGGCAAGTCCTAAAAACGTTGATGAAACAAGGTATCGAGAAAATGTTGATGACAATGTAGGCCTATTTCATTTGTTTTCCATCTTCCATTCCAGCATCATTATTATTAGCATTATTATTAGCTTTTTTGTAACCATTTAACCAAAATCACCATCTTTCCCTTACCTCAAGCAAAGTGCTTTTGTTGCCTAAATCTATCCAGGGATTTTTGTTGCCTAAACTTAAGGAAACATGATAATAAAGTGTTTTACCTATGTAGTAAGTTTATTTTAAAAAAGACTGTATGTAAGTAACGAGCTGAGCCTTGGCATAAGGTAATCTTCATGGGCCCCAGTGCATGCTGTTATGATGGGCCTTTGTGCACGCTGTTGCGCATGTATCGTCTCATCACATGATCAAATAGAGACTTAACAACATCAACGTAGTACATATAACCAAGCAAAAATCATTGCATATTTTGAAAAGGAAAAAGAAGAAAAAACATCATTCCTCTTTGAACACAGCTATATTTCTGAGGTGGTATTCTGAATCACTGGCAAGGGCCTGCTTTCTCTATGGGCCCCCCACCCTATGGGCCCCAGTTACGCCCCTGGAGTAGAAACTGTACATTCACATTTCCTGTGAACGTATTTTGAAAAGACACAATGCATGTCACAAGTCTAAATTGAGACGCTGTTCGTGATGATCCAAAACTGATGCACAAGGGTATGTCACACGTCATATTTTGAGCGCCAAAGCGGCGGTATTTGACGTGTTGAGATGAGAACAGGTTACAATCACACAGGCCAAGCGTCAGGCCCGTTCTGAACGGGCGTGTTTTGAATGGGTACTGCACTAATTATGTCAGTGAAGGAAACTCGTGACTTGTAGGTTAATTAGTAACGTGGACAGTATACTGTATACAGTCCATGTATGTACAGTGTGTAACCATAAGGATATCATGCTTGTAATGTTTTTGCCCTTACTGTTTAGCGAGTTTGAAGAGCATCTTTGCTGCTAAAAGCATATCATAACATAAGAGCTGTGGAGAAGGAGAGGGATACTAGACAATTCATATCTATAATAATAACATAAAAAATAAACAATGAAAACAAATTTTTAAAAATTTACATTTCCCCTCCTTCAGGCCTGAAGCATCATGATTTCAGATTTCAAATCCCCAACAGTCTACTTGATGCCTGCCACCATGTGGATCCACCAGTTGGCCTGCACGGTCCAGCCCTTCTGCTCACACTCAGCGATCTGCTGAAGGAAATGCTCCTTGGCCTCTGCCTCATTCTGTTCCTCCTGCAATGCCTCCCGCAGGTAGCGCATATCCTCTGCAGCACTCAGCTCCGGGATACCCGTCAGCAGCATGAGGGAGAAAAGAGTGATCAGTAGACGAGAGTGCGCACGCAGGGAGAGGTATGCCTGGGTGCAGGTGTCCTAATATGGGCAGGTGGGAAAGACAAAAGAAGGAACAGAGGACAGAGACAGAGGATATAAGGGCAAGGAATCGTAGGAAGTAAGAAATATTATCTTACAAATATCTGCAGTGCATTTATTCATATGCACACACACACATACACACACATACACATACACACACAAAATCATTCCTCTCATAAAAGTTATGCTGTATAGAAATGTTCTGTCACAGAAATTGTGTGCTCATTTCTATTTCAATGTAATTAACATAATAATGGTGTATGCCTCCACTTTGTCAATGATTTTGGTGTCAGACACAAAAAGACACCTTTTGCAGTGGTATGATACACCGTAGAGCGTCAGGTTGAAATGCAGCAGGTAACAAAATAATGCAAGGAGCTGAAAAGTCCCTAGTGAACAGGTGGTAGGGGTGGTGGATGGGTCCAACAAACCCCAGACTTTCACTCAGGACCCTGCTGTTTGCTTTCCTTGTGATGATGTTTTTTTCTTAATCTAACCACATGTTTTTGTTGCACAAAAATATAAACATAAAAACGCATCTAATGAGCAGGAACTGTACATATCCTGTGAAAGCAGTTGAAAAGACACAACTGGGCTTGGGCAATATCACAGGATTATTACAGTATTACAGTATACCAGGATATTCGAAAATCCCGAGTGTAAAATTTTCAATACCTTCAAAAATACAGATGCACATCTTTCCATTAATCTCATACTGGAGAGGCTGTCCTAAGGATTTTTTGCATTCATGCACCTCCAGAGGTCAGTGTGGTCGAACAGGCAGCTGAGCTGACTGTGAGTGGTGGAGATAAACTTAACAGTGTCGAATAGGAGCGACTGCAAGCACCCAGCCTGTCTGGTGCCTGCAACAGCAGAGAGTCCCAGGGAAAACAGCATATTTTCACATCTAACTCTGTGAAGTAAGGGTTTATTTTGACCTGAGCTAGCCACTGGGATTGCACACACAGACACTCACATGTACTAACATGCATGTGTGGCTGCCCTGTCGACCACAACAAAGAACAGAGAAGCTCCAACAACACACACAAAGTGTGCAGGACTTCATCCTCTGCTCAGGACACCATTACTGTACCATATCTTTACATGGCAAATAGTGGTTTGCTGCTATATTTACGCTCTTAATACCAAACACTGAACCTTTAAAGGTATGACTTCAATAGGAACCTATGAGATTAAGGCTGGGAGTCACAGATAGGGTGGGAAAGTTGGACAGCACTGACAGACTTATTAACACATTTTAGTCTAATCATAGGATTAGTTGACAACAGTAAATGTATAAAACAACTCTAGCCTTATCTTTGAATGAAAGTATCAGTATAATAACACACAAACACGCACAACCACACCTACACACACATAATCAGGTCTTCTCACCCTGAACCGCTGAAAGTAGAGGCTGTTGCGCCCTTTGCCCCTGCCCATGACATACAGGAAGTCAGGTGTGAGGACGAATGGTACACGTTCCCTGCTCACACCAAGGAAGTGCTTCCTGTTGCCCAGGATGTGACCGAAGTCGATGTGAAACAGGTTCCCTGAGATGCCCAAGAAATACAAAATTATCAACGTTCTGTCAGTCAACTCATATGGTTCAATTATTCAGTGTTTTGTTTAACTGTTTATCTTTTCCAGCATTGAGTCATTTTCTTAGTGTCCTACATTATCTGGATTGTTTACATGGATACAAATGCAGACAGGTTTACTCAGCTAGGTTCAGTTAATAGTCAGTGTAATATGAACCAAAACTTTGTGGTGTATACCTTGGTCTGTGACCATGATGTTGTCATTGTGTCGATCTCCTATACCCAGAACATAGGTGGCCACACAGTAACCAGCACAGGACTTCACAAATCTCTCCACTGTCTTGTAGTGCTGGGGTCAAATGAGATCACAGCAGTGCAATAACATAATTGGTATGGTGGCAGAGCATGAAAATGCAGCTGATTCATACATCACAATTATTTACATGTACAGTATTTTATATAGCACAAGACAAGCTGTCAAAACTGTTTCATTGGAAAGTAAAAGTGAAAGTATTTAAAGACAGTAGTAGTTTGACTGTGGGCAGCTGCACCAATCAAAGTGACCCAGCCTGTTGTTTAGCCACATTAACACATTTAACAGCCACATTTAACACATTAAAGGAGAAGGCCTAAATGGAGTGTGCTTTTTCATTTGTAATGTAATATAACATGTTCCTTTGGGTCCAAATCTTGTTGAAAACCTGACTTTGAATCCTGTCCATGTTTCCTATATTACTTACTATTTCCTGGAGTGGACATTTGGACTTGAGCCACTCAAACAGAGCATCGTTTCTGAAGGCTCCATTCGTTCCTCCATGGTTCCTCTGCACTGCAGCAATGGTCGCTGCGTCCCTCACAATCTCAATCATACCTGTTGAAGAGAAACTTGACTGTAATTTTTATTTTTTCTCCACTTCACTTTCTACAGGACATCCTGGTTATTAAGGATGTCCTGTAGAAAGCATACTTTTAAGCATAAGCAAACTTGTTATTGCCTATTTAGTTTTTATTTCTTAATTAGTTACACATTCCTCTTCAATTCTGTAACAACTAACAAAGGAAGCCCCAGCAATCAGGGGTGGAGTGGGGAAAAAAACCTGCCCCAGGACTTTTGACTCAGTGTTCCTCCCTCAAACCCACCCGGAGACACATCACCATCCATACAACATGTCACACTTAATTAAATTAATTAAAGTAAATCTTAAGTGATATAAACCCCTGGACAATGTTAAATAATGATAATAATATATTCATATAACTGTGTAATATTATACAGTAACATTACACAGATTTAAATTGGATCAGATGGGACCATTTCACAAAAAACAAACATTTTAAACTGCAACCATCAACAAGTTTATATGTCATTTAAGGAGTCACTTGCAAATGACCTATTCTGTCATTAGGGTATGAGGCTGTATTGATCTCCTACCACTGGTGGGGCGGTAATTTAGAAAACCCTAATGCGAGTAGTATTAGAGGTAGAAACAAATGACTTATATGGTCATATGGGTTGGCAGACTTGTTGATTATTTCCTACAGGTTGCCGGAAGAAAACTATGTAAAATGGCACTAATAATTAGGAAACAGAGACAACATTCTAAGTTATTTTAAGTAGAGTGTAATCAGGTGTATTGACTTTATAAGCAGTTGGTGATTTGCAGCAGAGGCTTTTGGATAGCGTAGGTTAATGAATGAATAATAAATGGGAAAATGACCTATGTTGTGTCCTGTGGAGATGCAGCCATATGGAATAAGGTTAAGGTCCAGTGATTTCTCCTGCCAGATAGAGTCCATCACCACCAGCGTCTAAACAGGAAGATACACCGAGTCAGTTCTCATTTTATCCCATGGTAGAATATATTCACCAACATAAACGCCAGCATTCCTTTTTCAGTAACATGAGTAATTAAGGTCAAAAATCTCCTTGACCTGAATGACCAGCATGTCCTGTCTGAGGTCGTCCCCCTCTTTGAAAATTATTCCGACAGGTGTAGCAGAGGTGGGCGACGGCATGGGAGAGAACTCAAGCCACAGTGGCTTCTTCTTGGAGGCCATCACCTTACATTTGTCCAGCTGGAGGAAAGAGATATAAAGAGAACTTATTTGTTTATTTTGAACTTGACAATTCATATGTATGGGGTTGTAGTGGAGGCGTGATGTGGACTATAGCCTTCAAACTGCAGTATCAGTAACTACGTGTGATTTTTTAAAAAAAATATATGTTTAGAAAATATATATGTATTTATCCCTCTGAGCACATGGGCCTGCACACAAACAGGCTGCATCATCACTGTCAGAGTGGGTATATTTTGGTCATAATTACTTTAGATTAGGTAGTTTAAAGCTGGAGTTGTCTCCCCTTCTGGCAGGGAGATTAATTACACACCGTCCCTTTTTTTCTGTCAGTGCTTTACAACAAAAAAAATCTACAACAATGGTGATACTTGTTTCTCCTCGCTGTCGATTGCTCCCTTTTTTTTTTTTTTTTTTTTACTTTAATTCTTCCTCTCATTGTCATCAAACTTCTTGGACACTTCTTAGGATTGTCACCATGGTCTCTCCCCCTTCCTGCCCCCTTTTGCTCTGGCATGTTGATGTAAATGCATGACTTCCACTGTGCCAGTACGGAAAAGTTGCCACAGACACCAGACATCACAACTCTGGTAGGTTATACTGTGAAAAAGAGAGCTTTTCTTGGAGGTGGTGGTGTTTAATGTTTATTGAGTTGTTTGATTGTGATGTAGTAATCACATCCCCTGGAAAATGATAAGTTCAACCAAGCAAACATTTTAACATTCTGACTCCTGTAGGTCAGAGTAGCTGCACTGGCCTGCTAATAGAACATGAAAATGATGGGAATGGGCAGAAGGAAGACATGGAGATGGATGTAAAAGGAGAGCAAAGTGAGAGGCAGGAGAGACAGGGGTAACCAGCTTGCCTTGTTTGTTGAGATGTGAAACTTTTGACCATGCTCTCTGGTGCCATCTATTGGCTGTATATCTGCCATCAAGAAGTATGAATGGAAGTATGAGGGCGGTTGAAAAGGACAAATCTATTTTTGTGCTTAAAGGGAGTACAAATGAGCCTTAAGTCCAAAAACAAGATAGTTTACAATATGTGGATTTGCGAGTGGAGGTAGTGCATTGGGGTCTGTAGTAGGACCCCAGCAAAGCCAATCAGCTGTGCAGCAATTTTTTCCCAATGGCTACTCTTAGTATTGCAGAAACAAATCTCCTGCGGCCCAAAAAGCATCTCTGCTGTAAAAGAGACATCTGTTAAACTGTTGACAGGACACCTACAACTGCAAACAAGATATTAATCATGACCTTTTTTATTTTGAATTCTTTAAACCATAGTGGGTTTTTATTTGTCGAACTTTCCTCAAGCCAAGAAATGTGTGAAAGCTGTTTGCAAGTGGGAACTTGCAGGCAGAGCCAGCAGGAGAAACACTACAGTGCATATTTAGTGGGCTGCATACTGCGAAAGTAAAGCTATACAACTTTTTTGGCACATGTGCCAGATGAGTAAATCCATTGGAATAACTAGGCGCTGTATTGGCGTCTGGAATCTAATTATCATTAAAACTCTATGGTCTGTAGTCCAGCCTTGGATTGCCACATCATGTGGTTAATGTTTATTGTGATTAATTTGTCAAAATGCGGTTGCTTGACCACCATAAAAAGCACAGGTAACACGGCATGTTCCTCACAAGATAGTGCCCGCCCCTATTCAAAAAATTTAATACAGCATGATGTTAATTTCACAGTCTCTACAGTCAACAATTGTTGGACAGCTTGTCGCACTGCTCTCTCTCTCTCTCTCTATACAGTACAGGCCAAAAGTTTGGACACACCTTCTCATTCAATGCGTTTTCTTTATTTTCATGACTATTTACATTGTAGATTCTCACTGAAGGCATCAAAACTATGAATGAACACATGTGGAGTTATGTACTTAACAAAAAAAGGTGAAATAACTGAAAACATGTTTTATATTCTAGTTTCTTCAAAATAGCCACCCTTTGCTCTGATTACTGCTTTGCACACTCTTGGCATTCTCTCCATGAGCTTCAAGAGGTAGTCACCTGAAATGGTTTCCACTTCACAGGTGTGCCTTATCAGGGTTAATTAGTGGAATTTCTTGCTTTATCAATGGGGTTGGGACCATCAGTTGTGTTGTGCAGAAGTCAGGTTAATACACAGCCGACAGCCCTATTGGACAACTGTTAAAATTCATATTATGGCAAGAACCAATCAGCTAACTAAAGAAAAACGAGTGGCCATCATTACTTTAAGAAATGAAGGTCAGTCAGTCCGGAAAATTGCAAAAACTTTAAATGTGTCCCCAAGTGGAGTCGCAAAAACCATCAAGCGCTACAACGAAACTGGCACACATGAGGACCGACCCAGGAAAGGAAGACCAAGAGTCACCTCTGCTTCTGAGGATAAGTTCATCCGAGTCACCAGCCTCAGAAATCGCAAGTTAACAGCAGCTCAGATCAGAGACCAGATGAATGCCACACAGAGTTCTAGCAGCAGACCCATCTCTAGAACAACTGTTAAGAGGAGACTGCGCCAATCAGGCCTTCATGGTCAAATAGCTGCTAGGAAACCACTGCTAAGGAGAGGCAACAAGCAGAAGAGATTTGTTTGGGCCAAGAAACACAAGGAATGGACATTAGACCAGTGGAAATCTGTGCTTTGGTCTGATGAGTCCAAATTTGAGATCTTTGGTTCCAACCGCCGTGTCTTTGTGAGACGCAGAAAAGGTGAACGGATGGATTCCACATGCCTGGTTCCCACTGTGAAGCATGGAGGAGGAGGTGTGATGGTGTGGGGGTGTTTTGCTGGTGACACTGTTGGGGATTTATTCAAAATTGAAGGCACACTGAACCAGCATGGCTACCACAGCATCCTGCAGCGACATGCCATCCCATCCGGTTTGCGTTTAGTTGGACGATCATTTATTTTTCAACAGGACAATGACCCCAAACACACCTCCAGGCTGTGTAAGGGCTATTTGACCAAGAAGGAGAGTGATGGAGTGCTGCGGCAGATGACCTGGCCTCCACAGTCACCGGACCTGAACCCAATCGAGATGGTTTGGGGTGAGCTGGACCGCAGAGTGAAGGCAAAGGGGCCAACAAGTGCTAAACACCTCTGGGAACTCCTTCAAGACTGTTGGAAAACCATTTCAGGTGACTACCTCTTGAAGCTCATGGAGAGAATGCCAAGAGTGTGCAAAGCAGTAATCAGAGCAAAGGGTGGCTATTTTGAAGAAACTAGAATATAAAACATGTTTTCAGTTATTTCACCTTTTTTTGTTAAGTACATAACTCCACATGTGTTCATTCATAGTTTTGATGCCTTCAGTGAGAATCTACAATGTAAATAGTCATGAAAATAAAGAAAACGCATTGAATGAGAAGGTGTGTCCAAACTTTTGGCCTGTACTGTATATATATATATACTTTTCATAAGAAGGTGAAACTCACTAAGTACATATATACACTATGTGAAGAAAGTATGTGGTCAAAAATGTAAAATAGGGCCACATTAGATGCATTAGGATGAACCACACAAAGACTAAACATATCAGGCAAAGATCAAATTAAGACACATTACATTTTTTTTTTCAACACACTATTATTCAACACAAACACACTTAGAATTTGCTCACACACACAAACAGCACGAGCATGGCTTACCAGGATGCCTCCAGCTTTGATGCGCGGGTCAAAGGGGAGCAGGAATTCATTTGGCAAATTACAGTTCCTAAGAAGCTCTTGAAGCCTGAGGGGAGCTAAAGAGACAGAAACACAAAAATACACTTAGGAAAATTAGTTTACTGACGCACCAAATGGCTTCTTTCAGGTTACTTGGCAAATAACAAAAAATCTTTAAAATATGAAAAAACCCATAGGCACAATTAATACGTGAAGAAACCCAACCACCAACATTTGCACAACTTATCGTGGAGTGGATTTCTTTATGTGTATTAATGGGAACTCCACATGTGGTGCTTATCAGCCAATCACTGATAGCAGGAGGATTGGGTGTTTTTCTAGACTTTAAGCTTTGACTTGTATTTATGCCCCTGCAACAGCGTTAGCTGTGGCCGGACGCATTATGTTTTCAGGTCGTCTGTGAGTCCATTCATATGTATGCACATACACGTACATACCGCTGTCTGTCCATCTGTCTGCAGTCCACTGTCCAACCCATTCTTGTGAGTGCAACATCTCAAGACTTCCTTGAGGGAATGTCATCAAATTCACCACAAACATTCACTTGGACTCAGTGATGAACTACATAGATTTTGGTTGCCAAAGGTCAGAGGTAACTGTGGCCTCATAAAAAAATGTTTATGCCCATAACTCAGGAATTCATACGCTAATCATGACAAATTTCACACAAATATCTGATAGATCATGTCAGTTGTTGCCAGATCTCGTGAGAGTGTGTTGCTATAACAGAGACATGTCTTCAGCAAAGTTAATTTTCTCCTGATTTATCTGTCTGAAAAAAGCCATTTCAGTATCAGAATATATAGAAGGATTGGGACTTGTTAGAAATGGGTCCACTGTCAGTGGCCAAAGCCAAGTGACACAGATAAAGGGGATGAATTTAAAGTGGGCTGTCTTGGTTTATCAACGATCTCTGATATATTATTAAAGTGATGACATTTTAAATCCAAAAGATCAAAAGTCAACATCACTGTGACATCATAATGTTCTGCAAAAAAAAAAACACTTTTATTGCCATTATTCAGTGTCATATCTCAGGAACAGAAGGAGAGACATTTGGTCTGACACTGAATTGTTAACACTTATCTTGGGTGCCCACGTTAAAACTGTGCTGATTGTATAGCTTTTCTGTGCTGCCTGTGGGGAAGATGTGTGTGAAGCATTCATGTCTTCATAGACATGGACACAAACTGTACGTACAACTTGATTGGTTCAAGGAGGCATTCGGCCACAAAGTGGTAATTTTAGATTTGTAACTAACTTGCTTGCAGTTTTCCCAAGAACCACTCAACACTGCACTTCCTTTGGTCCTGAGCAACATACCACGACATAACTGCGTCCCCTGTGCAAGAGTATATGCGTCTTTGCTAACAGCTATCTATTTGGGAGTAGGCTATTTCCAGGAACAAAAGTGTTCATGATCTCCAGTCTCTCCGGTCTCTCTTTCTTCATGTGTTCTTGGACGTCAGTACACTACACAGCGTGTATATAACGCACTACGAATAAAAACTGTTTGTCCCATTGATTTTTGAGAGCTCGAACATTGCACTTCCTCTGGGTCCTCATCAATACACCTGACAAATGCTAAGTTGATCAGATGAATGATTGCCAAGAAAACTGGAGGACAGACAGACAGAGACTCCTTCCATTTCAGTTAGATGAGTTGACAACTATTGGTTGGATTGCCTTGAAATTTGGTACAAATATCAATGTTGCCCAGAGGATAAATCCAAATGACTTTGTTGATCCTCTGACTTCCATCATCAGGTTTACATTTCAATCTGCTGGTGTGTTGCCTTATGGGAAGGGTGGGATCAAATACTAGAAACCAAATATTATGATGTCTTGCTCTCTGCTGCTTCAATTTTGATAATTCTTTCTTTCAATCTGTCTCTACATGTGTCGCCCAATTTTATGAATGTCATCATCATTTAACCAGCTCAGTCCTGTTGATGTTGGAAAAAAAGGATGACAATATTAATTTTGATTTTACCCCTCCAAGAACTGCCACCTTATCACGGTGGAGGATTTGTGTGTCCCTGTGAACCTGAGAGCTGTGTTGTTGGGCGCAGTAGCTCCCAAGAGCGTTTCACAGACAATTTATGAATTAGCTAGGAAGGAGCTGCAGCATCTCGCCCTGAGACAGCAGAAAATGGATGGATAAATTCTGACTTTATTATTCTGTAAAAGTAAAAGCACAATATTCTAATCCATAAGAATAGTCTTTCTCAGATGTGTCTCACCTGTAGGAGGAAGGTCGGTCTTGTCAGGGTACATTTTCTTAATCATAATAGCAACCTCCTCTAGGGCCTTCACAGCCTGGACCTGCTGGGTGAAGCTGTCGAGCATGGCCTGACCACAGCCCAGGAGGTAGGCCTCCAGAATCACAGCCATGCGCTGGCGGAAGTACGGACACCCTGCCACCTCACTGCGGACATACCAGAAGAAGAAGTGGCCGATCCTCTTGCTCTGCAGTGAAGGAGGTGACAGTTGAGGTGAGTGAGTCAGAGAGAAGGGCACAGACACAGGTGTAGCTGCAGTTCACATTTTTACTGTTGTGAGGCCACTTTGAATCACAACAGGTTGAAATTAATTCTTACAGGACTAATGTAAATGTCTTTTCTGGTATATCTGGACGAAGTTGCAACTACAAAAATTCAACTCTAATCTCAACCTAACCAATGAATAGGTTAACAATTTAACCTATATTTATTAAATGCAGTACAGAAACAAGATTTTTAATGTTCAAACTGATAAATTTAATTGTTTTTTTTTTTTTAATATATACTCAATCTGAATTTAATGCCTGCAACATATTGTATATAAAAAAAGTTGTGATAGGGGCATCGCAAGACTGGGAAAGTTGTGGAATGCTTAAAAAACAACTGTGTGGAACATTCCACAGGTAAACAGGTTAATAGCAGATTAAAGTATCATTACTGGGTATGAAAGGGGCTTCCTTGTTCAGTTGTACACAAGCATGGATGGTCATTTTGTGAAAAACTGCGTGGACAAATAGTCCAAAAGTTTAAGAACAGCGAGTCTTAATGTGCAATGGCAAATAATTTAGAAATTTCACCATCTGCAATCCATAATATCATAAAAAAAATTCAGAGAATCTAAAGAAATCTCTGCATGTAAGGGGCAAGGTTGAAAACCAACATCAAATGCCTGTGACCTTTGACCCCTCAGGCTGCACTGCATTAAAAACTTTCTTGATTGTATTACAACACTGGCTCTGGAACACTCTGGAAAACTACTGTCAGTAAACACAGTTCATCGTTCATCTACAAAACCAAGTTAAGACTCTACATGCAAAATGAAATCTGTGGGCTATAAACATGTTGGGGATGGTAACAAAAATAGCAAAAGGATGTGTCACTAACATCCTTATATGTGTACACTGAATGTTAGCATGCTGTATGACTCACCCGCAGGGCTCTTTGGATGAGGTACCGAGCGAGGAAACTGTCATGGTATGGTTCCACTTTGAGGGTCTGTATGAATAAACAGGACAGAGAGACAAACTGTAAGTAGTGACACCAACCCACAGTCACAACCTCTCAATACATCTCCACTGACACTTGAGTCCTTTGGTTAATGTAAAAGAAAAAATCTCAAGTGCCTGCTCATAGTAACTTGTGCTTTTAAAAGTACAAAGCAATGCGCCTTTTATGATTTTCGGTTAATTTACAATTCAACTTTTATTACAGTTTAGCGTCTAGCTTTTCTTGCTATGTATTTCAGCTCTCAGTTTCTGTAGGTAATGCAGTCATTACCTGCAGCTTATGTTCCCTGTTAGAAAAGGCTGTCTGATGTCAAGGTAAAGCAGTGAAAATATTTTAAATATAGTGCACACTTAAACTGATGTTGATTTTTTTTTAGGTGGCTAAAAGCTGACTAATTGAGGCAGTGTCTGCCCATTCTTTGTAGATGCCATGAGCGTTTTCTGCCTGGAAGTTAATGTATAAGATGATGATCGAATTTATTGTGAACTGTATGTGCGCTGTGCAGGAACAGAAAACCTGACAGGTATAGCAATAGTAACTGTGGAGGGCGGGGCTTAGCAAACTGTCAATTATCCAAATCGAGCTGAAAGCCAGTGGATCTGGAGCTTTAGGGGCCTTTGGGGGCCCTGGGACAGCTGTCTGCTTTGCCTCAGAGGTAATCCAGCTATGGTCACACTTTTTTGAGCTGAGTTATTGAGATATTAATTATTCAGTTATGTCAAATGAATGCATTTAGATATTTATTTGTTTGGATTTTTTGTTTAATTTACATATTTGGTGATGAAGTAAATCTGTACTACTTTTGAGGCAACAGGAGTGGTGTCTTTGCACTGCATTGCATAATATTGGAAGGGGTTTCCAATACAAAATCACATTCAAATCTTATTATTATATTCACAGTTCATTCACAGACACTTTGAATTTGTCTTGATTTTTTCCAGATCAACAAACAGCACACACATTTTTGCCTATTGTCTATTTCGATTCACATACCTGCACTAGCTGCAGCAAATACTTCAATACATCGTCATTGGACAGGCACTCCAATCTCTGGACTGCAAGTCTCCTGACCGTCACATCAGCAAAGTCCATGCTTAACAGCTCCAGAGCCACTGTTACATCCAGTTCTTCAGGATCCAGCATTCCCAGTAGCCAGTGGATGTCCTCAACCGCTCTACGGTTCATCCAATTAACACTGCGCAGATAATGGGGCAGATTGGAGGCGTAGCGGAGGCTCTCCTCCCGGAACCTTCTGAGGCAAGACTTGTTGGTGCTGGTGACGGGAGACGGGGATCTGAGAGACACAGTGTCAGTCCCTGAATTCTGGAGAGGTTTCACATTCAGAAAGGAAGAATCTGCGCTGGATACGTTGGAAGGGGGCAAGGAGGAGAGAGCATCGGGGGAAGCAGTAGATTTGGTGGAGCATTCAGAGGAGCTGAAGCTATTTGGCAGAACCACAGGGAAGCTGTAGCGGTCTAGAAGGAAGCTGATAGCCATGGAGTCAGCTATGTCTGGGTTGGTAGCAGAGGAGAGCTTGTCTGCCTGGTAGGTGATGGCCTCATCATCCAGGTCTGGGTAGGACCACATGTGCAAGGTGTAGGGGCCCTGACTTAGGATGGACCTGCAGAGATGAATAAGTGTGCAATATGAAAAGATTTGTTATGAAGTTGTGACAGACCAGTGCTGTTATCAAGTTATGATACTTGCAGTGATTGTAGCAATACTAACTACTAACTGTATGGGAGCAGTTTTTATGCTGACCTCCCTTGTGAATAAATGTTAAGTCTGAAGTCTCATTTAGCTGCTTGTTAGCAACCACCTGAGACACATCAAAACTTCAAAATTCACGAGTGGGGTATTTACTGACATATTTTATACCATAGAACAAACCATGAAAGTCTGTTGAAGCTTATGTTAACCACAGACCTTATTTCAGGCATCTAACCAAAAATACAGACTTTGAGGCAAAGAAACCATGACTGCAAAAATGCTAACTCATTTCCAGGTTTTATGACTCATTCCCGGGTTTTATGACTCATTCCTGCACCTCTCTATATCTGTGCTCACTACAATATTAAAACTATATCATTATGCATTGCAAATTTCTATCACCTAGCAACCAACAAATAGACAGTTGTCAGCAGCAGCAATGGCTGTTGCTTATCGTGATTATTATTATAGATCTACGCTTATCACTCGTCACGCAGTATGTTGGGCTAAAAGGCCAAACGGCGGTCTTCTCAAGTAAACAGAAACATGCATATGGGGTTTGTTAGGAAAAGCTAATTCATGAACTTTAATAATGCTCACAAAGGAATCATCTTGTAGACAAGTGGGAGCCATATAGCTAATGAAATTTGTGTTAGCTGGCTTTTGCAGTATTGTTTGTTGTTTATTGTTGTTGGGAAGCTAATAGCTATTGTTTGCTAAGCTAATAGGATAATGTCAGTTGCCACTTGTTGCCTTAGCAAAGGTAGTGGGCTGGAGGAATGTGAACGTTTACATTCCTCCAGCCCACTACCATGATTAATGTCCAAATTCACATCATTTATTTGAGTGAGTTACAACTAATAATTAGGGACCTTGATAGATTCCGCTGTACAGGGAAATACGAATTAGGGAATAGTGATTCATTTTGGACACAACCAACTAGACAGGCTGACTATTTGACTACTGCTCATACTCATTAGGCTCATTTGAGATGAAGTGTGCCTGGCCTGGAAAGTGGATCAAATTAGGCGGCAGCAGCATGAGAGACAGTTTCCAGCAGCCTTCAAAGAATTTACAGGAAATCGCAAAATATTTACATCCTTTTAGGTAAATCTGTTGGCAACCTAAAGTTTGCAGACCCCCTGCACATTCCATCGGCCATACTGCCATACTATATAGTGTGCCAGAAAAAGATTTAGTATGTTCCAATACATAGTATGTCAAATGCAGGATGCCAAAAATACCAGAACGTTTTACTGCATCTGGTCTGATTATGCAGTATGCAGGCCGACATATTTTTTTGGCTATTCTGACCCACAATCCACAGTGCAGTGGTCAATATGTCACATCAGTTGAGCTGCAAACACATGACAGCTTGACAACTCATTGGCAGCTGTTTGACAGTTGTCAGAAATCGTATTGATGGCTGACAGAACTTTCAAGTAACTGATGACCAGTCGAACAGTAATAATAGAATTATTAATTAAGCCAACAAAATAATCATGACTATTTCGAACAACAGAAGGACATAACTATAAAAATAACAATTACAAAGAACTGCAGATGTAATTTTAGCGTCGCATAGATAATATGTTGGAATCTAACTTAAAAGTTAAACTACATACATTGCAAAGTAACAACAGCAGAGCTCTCTGGCATTTGTTTTATCTCCAAGGTAACGGATATGAAAGCAAGAGAGTCAAAGTTCAGGGCATACTGCTATGAGAGAGTAGTACAGTATGTCCTGACTGTGTGCATACTGCATGCAATAGTATATACTTTTTAAGGGCAGCTGCAGGACATACTGAAAGTAAAAAAGACACAACCTTTTTTATCAGCTACTGGGAAATCGCATGTTACTGTGTTATCCCTTTTTGACACTAAATACTGTAAAGACACTGAAGTATATCACAACGTTGTAACTGATAAGAAAAATCTGACCTGTGATCAATGAGCAGGAGATTGACAAAGTAGAGCACCTTCCCCTTCCCTTTCAGCAGGTCTGGTGCTTTAGTGACTGAGGGCAGTGGCGGCTTGGGGTCTTTGATTATTGTGGACTTTCGGTCTGGAGTGATGTCACCAGCGCTAGCATTAATCGTGAAGCCCAGCTTGGCTCCACGTGGCAGATCCCTGAGGAGAACATCAAAGTCAAGCCACTCATTCCACAGCACTTCATCTGCGAAGGCCTTGGGAGTTGAGGACACCGAAGAGAGAACCTTGTTACCATAAAGTATGGATGCTGTTACATAAACTGACTGAGGGCATTTGCTTGGAAGTTTTGGGATGTCAAAGCCAAGCAGCTTCACTCTGAGTCTTCTGTTGCAGTCCCACAAGGATATCATGAAAATGTCTTCCAGATCCTTCCCTTCAAGGCGGAGGTCATCGTGGGAGCTAAACTGGCCACTGGAACCATCAACGAGTGGCAAGTCTACAAACCTGACAGTCTCATTGACAACCTGCGACACAGGGACCACAGAGAGGTGGAGGTCATGAATGGCTTTTAAGCACTGTCGAACCCAGAGGAAATTGCTCAGGGGGTAGTCTCCAGATAAAAACTCCTCCCTCCCAGAGACCTTCAACACCAGTCTTTCAGAAGTGTCGTAAACAAGCCCCTGATCTGCCATCACCTTTCTAAAAACCGTAAGAAGTACACTTGGAGTTGCACTAAAATCCACCTGTATGCTGAAGCTGAGCTTGCTCATATAATGAAGGGTGACAGGAAGCTTTCTGTTTAGCTGGTCCTGTAGGTCATTTGGAATGGGGGCGTGTGTTATCCAAGGCTCTGTGGCGTATAACTCATCATCCCGATCCCTCAGCTCTTGTCTTCTCGGAGAAGCCAGTTTTCTGCGGGTGAATGTGAGCTCACCAAGCCTGTCAGATGCTTCTTTCTCCAGGTTGTGTCCTATCAGTTCAGCCAGACACTGCTGCTGTTTCTTCCTCTCCTCTGAGTCAACTGCCACAAGTGGTGTGACCACTATGTGCGCCAACAGACGCCCAGTGTTGTCATATGACCATGGAATGTCTAACGTCCTGATAACCTGACAGTCATCGTAGGCCTCATACCAGTCATCCCCCCTGGCATAAAGCAGAGTGTATTTCTCTGGGTCCAGGATTGCAAGTGGGTCTGGATGGCAGTTTTGTTCCTGTGCCTGAAAGCATAAAAACAAATAGTCGAAAATGTTAATGGTTACAGCTTGATTATAAAAGTCTACAGGACACAAGCAGCCCTGTGAGGTTGTATCATAAAGTGTTGATAGCATATGGCACTAAACGCTAGTTCTGATGTTTAACAGATATAATATTTACCATTTTCTCCATTTAGTTTAACATGCTGTGGCAATGTCTTTAGTTTTGCAGGTATTTGGTGAGACATCAAAGTTTTAGGAAAATCAACATTTTCATCGGATAATGGATTAAATAACAACTCAGCGGATATCCAAAATTCATCCTGAGTGGGACATAAATGTGTGAACCCAATTTCATGGAAACCATTCAGTAGTTGTCAAGGTATTTCATTAAAACCCAAAAACCTCATGGTGGCACAAGAGGACAAGTCAGGGGATCACAACGGTCATTAACATTCACCCCCTTAGCACCATGACTATCTGTAACAAATTTCAAACAATCCCCCCAATAGCTGTCAACAGTGGTGGAATGTAACTAAGTACATTTGCTCAAGTACTATACTTTAGTATAAACTCAAGATGCTTGTACAATTTAAAACTGATCTAAAAATGAAACCTATTTAGTTGCTTTCAAGTTTGTAACCGAATGTTTTGATATAGTTTTGCTGTTGTTAAAAGTGGTCCCCAATCAATTAATAATCTAATATTTTCACCATTTCCCATGGAGACATGGGAGAAAAACAAAGTTTTCCTTATAAATTCATGGTAACATGGCATGACTATTACATTTACAAATTATATATGTATATGTAATTATGGATGTCCTGATCAATTTTCTTTTGCCCCCGATTCCAGTCCGAGGCATTTAATATTGAGAATCTGCCGATACTGAGTCCCAATCCAATATTTCTATTATCCTGTATAATACAGCTGCACAGTGCACACTAAAATCAATCCAATGTATAGCCTGCGCTTGACAGTTGACTGGCTCTGCAATGCATTAAGAAAAAAATCCCTGCATCCAAGCTGTTCTTTCATGTTTATTTATTTATCTATTTTACAAAATAAAGTATAAAATAACAGACCTTCTCTTAAGTCTTCTTGGCGTTGTCACTGTTTTGAGGGAATGTCTCTGTCAGTTTAAGAGAGTATTCTCCAGAGTTTGTTGCTTCAGTGCATCCTTTGCCTGAGTTACCTGAATGAACTGTGTTCCACTCAAAGTGTCAGGGGTTTCCCTGGCCTCACTTGCAAAATGCCCATGTGTCAAACTAACACATACCAACCAGGAGGAGACTCAAAATGGCCACACAAAGATGTAAAATGACAAAAAAAGACACAAACTACATCAAACAGACACGAAACAACAACGTAGTCTGTGTGTCCTGCCCTCGTGTAGTAGTGGTGGCAAGGGAGTCTCGCACTGAGCTGAAATGACACGGGTGCTTGTAATTGCAGTAAGTGACATAACATACTGTATTTTGCTTTTGTTTTTGCACACACAGACACACTCACACAGAATCAAGCAGAGACAGAAAGCGGGGAACCAGAGATTTAACAAAGGCTGCACTCTGTTGCTGTGCATGAAAGCTTTGCAAGTGAAAACTGAGTGATCACTGATGTAAAACAAAGGATTAGATCAGCCTCTCTATAACTCAATTGGCCTCAGTACAGTACGGATCTTTGAGACTGGACTGGGAAACTCCTATATCTGAATGCAGAACTTTTGCTTGTAGTTGAGTATCACAGTGTGGTATTGCTACTTTTCCATAAAGGATCTGAATACTTCTTCCACCACTGGATGTTGAGACATTTCAGTTTGATACAAAGCAGTGGACTGACTAACATTGCCATCACTCAAACCACAAGGCTAGCATTGCATCACAAGGGCTATTCTATCCATTCACAGTCCCCTACTACAATGGGAATCTAAGATGTACCCAGTGGCAAAGACCAGCTATGCATGTGTATATATTTAAAAATGCATAAAACCTTCAGAAATAGAACCGAAAAAGCAAATTTGAACAGTAGGTCATACACAAGGGGTTTACCTACCTGTATACAGATGCGCAGCCGCAGCTGGTAGACACTGCACTGCGCAGGGAGGATGACTGATACTGACTCGCTGTCCATATTGACATTGAAATCCTCATCTACAGACACCTGCAGTGGACCAGGCAGGGGCTTAAACTCACAGATAAACCTCAGGTTGTTCTCGGAGCAGCTTTGAGTTGTCGTTCCAGATAGAAGGTCCACTGGATGTGGAACGACAGACCGATGCCGGAGAAATGTAGGATCCATTGATACTTAGGAGAGTCAATCCTGGAGTTCAGAAAAAAAAACAACCTCTGAATCTAACTGATTATCAGACCAGTTCCTGCAGTATGATTCACAGGTTGCTATTAAGACATTGCAGGTGTAGCGCATTACTACCGAAAATCATTTAAAAACTCTGAGGAAGACAGGTGCTGCTTTCTTAAGATCCTAAGGTGGAGTGTGTGTGAGTCTGTACCTGTTTGACTGGGTGAGACTCTGTGTTTCCTTTTTTGTGTTTGCTGTTGGACTTCCTCATTCTTTCATAAACACCTGTGTAGAGATGAATACTAACAAAGCATTTACTGGCATTGTAAAGGGGTTGACTTCCTTGTTCCCTTTTTGAGCTACGATAATAAATTACAGTAAACTTTTCGGACGTGTTCACAGGCCTAGGTACATAGTACTTTTACAGTATTTTACTTTAAAACAAATGCAATACATAATGAAATGTGTTTCCCTTGGTTTACCAATCAGCATTTGTCATGCACTCAAAACCATGGTAATAAAAACAAAGAGAAAAGTGTTCATTATCAAATAGGTCAAATGGGAGCTCTGCTAATGTCTGACAGGAATGCACCAAACCAGTCTGGGTTGTTTGGCTTGCTACTCTGATGAGGCACTGTAAAATGGATTATGGATGCACCTTAAATGCACCTGTCTTTAACTGAAAGGTGGAATCAGTGATATTTTACTGGGTCTTGGCACACAGTTGCCATAATATGTCAGGGAGGATTTTCAAGTGGTGCTTGCCATTGCCAGTCACTTTACTGTTACCTCAACAGCTGCTGTAATTCTGTGTCTCTTAACCAACCACCAAGCTATCTGCACTTGTGCCACACTATTTACGGTATTCATCAGGCCTGCCGTTGGGGTGAAAGGGTACAGATGAGTCCCTCCTAGGGCCAAGGGGGGTGGGGGGGCATACAAAGATCTATGGTTGACCTTTAATTTGGATCAAGTACAACAATACTTACTGACTTATATCACTGACAAAACAAGTTACATGTATTAATATGATAAATAAAGGTATTTTTTATTATTAAAACACATTTCAATGTGCCATCTGATCCCCCCACAGGTACTTTGAAATGGTTCAGTCCATCTGACAGAGGGGGTCAGGGGTGTGATGCGTTAATGTAAAAATGTGAGGGGGACTGCTGCCTGACTGGCAAAGTCAGAATGCCTCACCAAAAATAAGGGGCTTCTAAAAGAAAAGCCAGGGTACAGGGCTGATGGTGAGGAGTGAGGCAGAGTCATTTTTAGCAAATAAGTTTTAGAGCTACAGTGAAGACACTTTCATCATATTGAACTAAAGGACCTAAGACATCCATTGGTACCAACCATGTTATGCTATCTTGTCGGAGAGGGGGCCAAATAATGCTCCAAAGTTTAACAACATTTTTTCACAAAATATTTTCCTATTTTCTTTTAATTTTGCTGTGTTGATGTTCCAGGGCATGTAGCCCCCAGCCAATAACAGCACACAGGTAAGGACTTTTTTAAAGGTAACAACAAGGTGCCAGACCATATGTAGCATACATCCAAAGAAAAAGCTATGAACACGGTGGACACAGCATCAAAAAAATACAAATATGGAGATACACAATGCTAAGCAGACAATGCTTATTCCAAAACAAGAGTGAGTCTTGGGGTGTCTTTCATTATACTGGCAGGCACTGTAGGAGAGGATGGGGATGAAGAGTGACGTCGAGTGGGCTTGTTTTGTGTTGAACTGGGGGGGGGGGGGTCAACATGCCAAAGAGGAAGGCAGATGTGTTACCATACAGGCTCTAGACCTGTGCCTGACTAACATGAAAGGCATAGTCCACCTAATAATCTAAATGTGTCTGTTTTCTTACTTTGAAAATAGTCTAATAGTAAAAATAAAGCAACATTCCACATTGTAGAACCTATACTGGTCCAATATTGAAATGAATGGATAAGATAGGACTCACTCTATAGGCTCAGGAGCCTGGGCTAGAATGACTCTCATCTCATTCCATTAATTCATAAGTGAGAAACATATGGATCCTGTAATAAGGATTTATTTTTATTTTCAAGGTAAGAAAACAGCTCACAAAGTTTGAGTTTGGGGTTGTCCATGCCTTTAAGTAGTAGCTAGGTTAATGTTTCAGTTGTCAAAGTACCCTAATGCACAAAGTACCCTAATGCACAAAGTACCCTAATGCAAAAGATTCTATCAAATGTACTGTACTGTGGCTTTTGTTCTGTTGTAACTGTTTTATTTTATTTTATTGTATCTTTGTTTTAATTTTTCTATTTTAACTTTTTAACTCTTTCTTCTATAGCCTATTAATATTTTTATATTGCCTTTGTGTTGCTTTTACATTTTTACCAAATTGATACTGTATGTTGATATTTTTATGTAAAGCACTATGAGTCACCTTGTTGTTCAACTACCCAACCAGATTAAACTCATGCATACCTGAGTGAAAACTACTGTAAGGAGTTGCCTAAAAGCTAATATCAAAAACTAAACCACCACTCAAAAGACTATTAAAATTAAATAATATACGCTATATTTTGTGGTGGAAAGTAACTGAATGCATTTACTAAAATATTGCACTTAAGTACAATTTTAAGGTACTTGTACTTTGAGTATTTCCATTTTATGTAACGTTAACTTTATACTTCTACTCCACTACATTTCAGAGGGAAATATTGTACTTTATACTCCACTACATTTATTTGAGAGCTTTATATTACTTGAATAATCTTATAAATGACTCTTTATTGTTAAAGATTAAACCAATGGTCCCCAAACTGTTTGGCTTGTGGGCTTTACTGATGTCAAAATGTAGTGTTATCTCTACAACTAGCTTACGTTAATCCATTGTCTCACTGCTTGACTGAGCAGTGTAAGCTAACATTCACATAATAGCTTTATGACATCTTACATTGAAATGCCAAGCCATAGACACACGTTAGCATTCATCTGTTGTCTAGACACCTGACACAATATAATTCTGAAACTCTGAAAGTGAGAAAGTAAAGTATAGTATGTAGATAGCTACTTACATTAATTTGGCACAAAGTCTTTTTTTTTTTTTTTTTTTTGATACACCGACCCCCTTCTTCTAGACTTTTGAAATGTTATTGGACCGAATGGATCAAATCCTGACAGTGAAACAAGTCATTTCATGGGGCTTTTGATGCTCAAAAACTAAATCCACTGATTTACAGATGTCTCTTTCACAATGTAAGTCAATGGGGGCAAGTTTTTTTAGGTCCAATGGCATCATGTGACTGACCTAGAAGTTATAATTCCAAGATCGGCCATTATGTAAAATTAGTTTCAAAGCTCAACACTGTTCCTGGTGGCTTGGTTTACAAACAGTAAGCAATAAGTCCTGCATAGTGTACCTTTGACCAAATGTTGTGAGTGTTTAAACATAACCATACAGAAGCTGAATCATGCTTTAGTTGGTATTAGACACTGTAGAGAAAACAAGTGAAATATGTTAAACATTTAAGAAAACATTCAGAGTCAACATTTTGCGACCTGGCACATCAGTAGGTCAATACTTCATTGACAGAGAGATCTTTGTGAATTTAGTATAATGTTGTAGGTACTGGACTTCCCTTTGATTAAGTGGAATCAAAGGGAAGTACAGTGGCATTGTACTTTATAGAAGAATAACCTAGAAGAGGAAGTTGGGCTGGCTGTAGTTCTCCTTTGAATTCTTGTGCTGTAAAAACATCAAAACCAGTCACAGGACTGTCAGTCTCTTTCCATGATTTAGGAGTTTGAGGATTTTTCTGTGGCAATGTATATCAAGGTAGCTGAGCATGACCCATTTTTCAGTCACTGAGGTATTATAATAGTGGCATATACATGTGTAATGCTGCTTCAGTCGGTCATGTAACAGATGGTGAGAATTAGAGAATTGTTTCACTTCCTCCAGACAGGTTTGTAATATGTCTGTTTTATTTATGAAATACATTACAAAATGTGGCTTTACATCAATATATGAATTTATATTGTTAAAACATGTATTACCTCATTGCTATGTGTTCTGCAAACCAGCTGTGTTTAACAAAAAAAACTGTATTAAGAATAAGTTGTATCTTTCTTTCACTTTCTTCCAAACCAAATGAAACTCTAGTGAAAGTTCAGTCAGGAAGACGGTACTTTTCATGCTCAGGCTGTAAGTTTCTTTCTCATCCTGCCATTCACTGCTTGCATGTATGCTCACTCTCTATCTCTAAGTGTCATTGTCTGGGTAGGTCAATTGAGTCATCAGCTGATTCACAATCAGCCAATAGCACATTAACTCACCTTCTCTGTCAGCCTATCAGCTTACTGCTCCTCATTTTAAATATGGTTCTTTCTCTGCTGTAGTTCTTCCTTGCTGCTGTCATGTGCGCCTTCCACCTTTCCATCACCACCTAGTCTTTACGGATTCATCAGCCTCATACACCTCAGCAGTCAGCAGCCTCTGAGTCATCAGCCACCACCAGCACCAGTGTTTGGACTTCATGGGGGGATTTATCCTGCTGCTGCTCAGATGTCTCTCGATCACAAAATATTTCCCTCTGGTGTCCTAGTGCCAAAGACTGTCCACTCATATTCTGTATTAAATATTATCTTTACATAATTCTTCTGTCTGTCCTGATTGAAATGCATATGCTGGCCAGATCAAGATCTTCACATCATGAAGAGGTGGTGCTCAAGGAAACACTACCACTTTTTTTCCACAGGGGCCATCAAAGTCAACACAAAGTGAAAGTTCCTTGTATTTGCTTTAAATGCTGCCTGGAGCTCACATAGGTGAGTTGTGAAAAATTACGCTGATTGATCAGGTTGACTTTTAAACATTTGTTTATTAAAATTGTCTGTTAAGGTACAAAGGCAACCATTTTTCTGCCATTATATAACTAATGTTGTGAAATTGACATTCTCAGAATAAACAACATTGGTTGGTTGGGAAAAGTTGAAATAATGTAACTATTGAGGAGATAGGAATATCACCACCACAAGGAATCAGTGAAAACACAAGGAAAACAATCAGCACCTACTTTTCGTTGCCACTTGGTTGCGTTTCATCTTTCTGTCTTCACCTATTGAGATGTGAAACAAACAAAAACAATGATGTTTGTACATGTATGTTTTCACCAACCAATCCTGTACAATTATGTAACAGATTACATCAAAATTACTTTTGAGGGACCATTAAGGAATTGAGGATTGAGAAATAATGAGGGAGCTTTAGAGGTGCTGTTGTCCACTCAGGTGCAGGGAGTTTCCTGATGACCTCTCCACCCACCAGCTCCTGGGCCAGGAAGCCAAACCTGAAAAAAATATATCACTCATCAGCCTGATGTTCTTTGGTGTTTTCTCAAAGAATTTGATCAAATTTGTTCAAGAGTTGTACATTTTTCTTAAAATCATTCCATGAACTTAATAGAGAAGAGAAATTTCTTGAGGGATAATGATCAGAAACTTAGGGCTGCAAACATTTTATACCATCTGTTTTAGTCTGTGTGTGTGTGTTTACTATCAGATCAATAATTGCTTTGCCAGTTTCCTTCTATCCTCAGGAAGTCTCCCCAAATGAACAGCTGAACCACTTGAACCACCACAGCTGCAGAGCATCCACACCAAAATCTATTTGTAACATAACAGCAGACTTTTTCCACAAAAGACATTTGGATGTGTTAAATATTAACACTAATGATAATAAACTGACTCACAAACATTTTTGTAATGTGGCCTTTTGCCCTTGCTGAGACTCCTTGGTCAAATTAAGAATCTGTAGACCCACTGCAAAGCACCACAGCTGGTGTTATACGGTGTGGATTTAAGCAACACCATTATAAACTCCATATTATTATAACCTGGACAGGACAGGGAAAAAAAATGTTTTATTTAATCAGGGA